CAGTAGGTAGGAAGCCATCCTTGTACACAGATGAACCCCTGTACTTATCACTCACCAGATTCCCCACCAGCCAAAAGCCAAACTTGATCCCAAGTGCTGGCCTCTGCAAAAGCCCCACGTTGTGCGGAGAGCTTCAAAGAGAGGGGTTGTGACACTCACTCTGCCAGCTACAGCCTTAGACCTCAAGCACTTCCACTGACCTGCATCCCACTGGTTCTTGCTCTCCTGCCTCGTCCTCCCACTCTTAACCTCACCACGCCCTCACTATTGCTTGCTCTCCTAGGACTCTGGCTCTGCATGCCCCCAACCTCATGACAAGCTGTTTCCCTCTAGCTACGCCATCTCCAGCCGCTTTATTAGCAACAACCATAGCAGCCGCCCCGTTTGCTGAAGATATAGTATACCGGGCACTGTCCGAATATGTTACTCAATCCTCACAACAAGCCTATGAGATAAATATTATTTTTCCCATTTTACAGATAAAGCAACCAAAACTCAGAGGTTTAGTATGGCATACAAGGTCACACATTCATTCAATCAACAAATATTTATTAAGTGCCTACCATCTTGTTAGGTTCAGTGTTAGTACAAGACATAGAGTAGAGGAGAAACATGTTAAGCAAGTACACAAGTAAAAACACAATTACAGTCATAAGACCCATGGCAGAACAGACAGGGTGCTGAGTGCTTGCTAGACAAGAGGAAAATAAGTTGGGAAGGGAGTTAGGCACAGTCTCTCCAACAAGGTCACGCTGAAGCTGAGACATGAAGGTCCAGGGGCCTGTGGTTCAAGGAAAGGGAGAAAGGATGTCCCAGGCAGAGAGTGAAGGCCTCAACATAGGGACAAGCTGGGTGTGGTTGAGGAAGAGCAGCCTGTATGGCTGGAGCACAGTGTACAAGCGGAGAGAGGAACATGCTGAGCTTGGAGAGACAGGGAACTGCCAATCACTCATGGTCACCTAGTGGACCATGTCAAGAAGTTAGAGATTTTATTCCAAGGTCAAAGAAACATCGTAGAAAGATCAGCCGAAACTGAAATCTGATGGGGCAGAGCCCAGGGATGGAACACTATCCATGTCATTTCCCTATCAAAAGTCAGAATTAGGGCCGGCCCGGTGGCGCACTGGATAGTGCGCCGCTTGGGAAGCGCGGCGGCGCCCCCCCCCGGGGGGGGGGGGGGGCGGCGGGGGGGCGCCGGGGAGGGTGCGCCGCTTGGGAAGCGCGGCGGCGCCCCCCCCCGGGGGGGGGGGGGGGCGGCGGGGGGGCGCCGGGGAGGGTGCGCCGCTTGGGAAGCGCGGCGGCGCTCCCGCTCGAGGGTTCGGATCCCACATACGGACCGGTTCCCGCTCACTGGCTGAGCGTGTCGCGGGAGCAACGCCGAGGGTTATGATCCCGTTGCCGGTCCCCAGTCCGGTACGGGGGCAACACTGAGGGTTGCGATCCGTTGCCGGACACGGAAAAAAAAAAAAAAAAAAAAAAAAAAAAAAAAAAAAAAAGTCAGAATTAAACTCTTCCATACATTGGTAAAGACAGCTACCTGGGCTGAATATACTGTACCAGATTCTGGGTCTGCCCCATTCACCCCCAAAAAAAATTTTTTAAAGGCACAGAGAGAGATTCTAGTGTCCAGAACAGATCACAGCAGATAAGCACAGGCCTTCGCAAAAAGCTGCCTCAGCCAGGCCCCCTCTGGTCTGAGGAGCTCCCTACTATGTTATCTGGAAAGGACCAATAAGACAGGCCCCTCTCAAGACCAAACTGATGTAGCACCTTCTACCATAAGGCCTGCCATATAGGTGATTATACCCTCAGCTAATGGGAATATTATACAGCGTGGATTACTAGTTTTAAGGCCCAAAAACTGGCATGTGGTTTTCACGTCACAGTGAGTACTTGCAGAAAACAACAGAATGTAGTAGAAAGGACTTCCTGTGCCACAAGACCTGGGTTCAAGGCCTGCATAAGTCCCTATCTCTCTCTCTGGGCTTCAGAGTCCCCAGTGTGTCAAAGGGAAAGGATGAGGCGATTTCTGGAGCCCCGGCCCTCCAACTTCTGGCCCACAACACAGTGCCTTTTAAATCGTCACGTTGGCACCAGCCTTGCTCCCCTCCACATTCTCCTTGCAGTCACCAGCCTGGGTGACCTTTTGAAAGCACAGTTCTGGACATTTCCCTCCCCAGATTAAAATCCATCACTGTTTCCCTTTCATCTGCAATACAAAAAACAAAGCAGTGTAACAATCAAGAACCCACACAATCAGACCCCGCCTGCTTCGATGGCCTGACTTCTCTCAAGCCCCTCACACAGCCAAAGGGAACTTACGGTTCCCTGAACTCCTCACACCCTGCTGTGCCTCTCTCTACATGTGTACATGTGAGCACCTATGCCTGAGGATGTTTTCCTAGCCCTCTCCACTTGGCCAATCCCTACTTGCCCCTGATGACCCACCTCAGGCAACACCTCCTCCAGGGAGATTTCCCTGAATCTCCCAGTCAGTTCAGAGCCCCTCCTCTGTGGCCCCACAGTGCCCTGTACTTACATCTATCACTGTACTATTTTCTTAACCATCTTCCCAATGAGACTGCAAGCCTCTTGACAGGCAGACTTACCACGTTTTAATCCACTAGAGATTCCCTAACCCCTGGCAGATAGCCTGGCACAGGGATATATTTGAAAATGTTCTTTGAACAGATGACATCCAAGTAAAACCAGAAGGGGGCTTATGTCTTGACGGATCCGAGCCAAATGCAACTCCTGATATTCAGATATCAATCTGAGACAAGAATAAGAGGAATCATGAGATTCCCCTTTAAATCAAAAGTATTCCAGCCCCCCTTTTTAATATGCACGCTGACTCTAAAATTAACTTTAGATGCCAAGCACATTTCCTATAAGCATCCCCCAGAAAGTTCAGGCTACCACTACATAGAGATCATGCATTCAGTAGCTCAGGCCAAATGAAAAATTTCAGTGAGTAATAAAGACCTGAAAGGGAGACACTGTGAACAGTGTAGCCATTTCAATTTCAGCTGCAGAATTTGCTCTTGAAAATGCTACAATAAAAAATATTAATGCCATAAAAATCTAACAGCAGCCAAAGGACCACAGCCATAAAGAAAAAACATAAATCCTAAAACATACTGGCACAGAAGGCTCTCCCTCATCTTCAAGAAAAATGGGATTTAGGTCATCAAGAACACATCTGAGCAAGGGAAACGAATCACATGGCAGAGAAAAAAAACAATGACAAGTATAAGAATAAGAAGGAGAAAGAGAAATAGCTAACACAGAATGTACTCTGTGCTAGGAGGCATAAGTGTTTCAAATATATTCACTCATTTAATCTTCTTAACAGCCCTTTGAAGTAGACACTGTTATTATGCCCATTTTAAAGATGAGGGAAGTACAGAGAGGTTAGGTGACTGGCCCAAGGTAACCCGGCAGAAGTGGACACACAGGCAGTCTGGCTCCAGAAGCCACAGTCCCTGAGCAGCACAGACGGTCCCTGAGAACGGCCTTGTCACATCACATCCATGGGCCTCAAGTTTCTCCTACATATAATAAAGAGGACTGGATTCAATTCTAGGGTGACTTCCAGTTCAAAAGGCAGACAATAAAATGTGAAACCAAAATTTTAAGATTCTTTGGAATTTCCCCATTAGAAATAAAATTTACAACTGTGCCCTTTGAAATGAAATAATAACTCTCTGTCTTGCAGAGCTGCTTTAATATTAATGTATATAAAGAGCTTAACACTTAAAGTGCCCAGCTCAGAGCAAGAACTCAATAAACAGTAGCTATTATTACTCTTATGATAAAACAGGAACAACCATTTAATAGTAGAGCATATTTTAATTATACACGATATGGAATAATCAAATCTCATTCGTTTGAGGCCCCAGACCCCACAGCATAGATCAAGTTGTACAGCTGAAATTATAACAACTCAAAGCTCAGAAATTACTTGTTTCCATTAGAGATCTGACAAGTCATTTCTTCAATTGGTCACTGGTGGTTTGCAGATAACTATTAGCAGTAATGAGTATTCTAAATTAAATCCAGAGACAGCACTGCTCCATTCCGTAAAGACAACTGGGGAGAGAGAAACATAATTGTGGAACATTCTTCTCTCTGTGTCCTCCATCTTCTCTCTGATAAATATCTCCTGTGTCTTCCATAGTATGGATTTCATTTGGTTACAAATGAAGAAGGGTCTAATTTTTCCCATGATAAATGAGAACGTTGAACAGGTAACTTGTGAAAGAGAATTGGAATTGGGAAAATAACCTCATTTTCCTGTTACTTGACAACAAACTCCCTCCACTAACAAATGAAAGACACAACGCTGGAAGACATTAAGCATCAAAGCCAAATCTATCACCAAATAATCCATTCTCAGACAATTACTACACAGTCCTGGGTACAGGCTACTCACATTCCTTTCAACAGCAACAAACATAAAGTCTACAAAATGCAAGGCAAGGCACAATGCAGTAGAAGGAATAATGGCTTCGGAATCATTAAAAACCAGGGTTCAAATCCCAGCTTTGCCACTTGCATGTTATATGACCATAAGCAAGTCTCTCCTAGTTTTAAGATCCCTAATCTGTAAAATGTGGATAATACAAAATACCTCAAGAGTTGTGGTGAGGATTAAACAGGGACCACAGCTACTATCCCTTACTTTATTGTAAGGCCCTTGACAGATGTTAGCTCCCCTCAGCTGTGCAATGTGGTAACATCCTCACCTTCAGGACACCAGAAATACAAACTCCCCAAACCTGGAAATTGCGGATCATGTCAGAACCCATAACTGGCCAAAGGACTGAATGCGTAGGTATGTAAGAGTCTCACAGAGAATGCCCACAAGACGTGGCATTCCTCCTACCTCTGGCATTATTCAGCTTAGTTCTCAAAAAATACAGCCCTCTCCTGAGTCTCGGTAGACAGCGGTAGCAGACATGATTTGTTAGGGACAATACTTTGGTATCTCCACTTACATTTTCAAAGTCCTTCATGTTCCGTGCTCTGGTGGGAGACACTGCTTCTTCTGACACATTTGGGAGCACTATAAAAAGATAAAATAGACATAGGAAAACATCACGGCATGCAAACTGCCCAACACTCCTATTAGGGAGTAGAGCCCAGAGAAGAAAAAACATGAACAGCAGAGTATACTCCGCTGGTACTTTCTGTCTGTTGTGATTTACTGATTAGAGTCCAGGGAAAGCTCTAAACTATTATATCCCAAGTATTTACAAATTACCTAAACTAACCCCAATGTAACAATGTATATGTGGTGTCAGAGGATGAACCCAGAAAATGCATCGGGCAGGTGGCAAAGCAGACTGTCCCGACATGTACTTCCTTATGTTCTAAAGTTATTTTGCTCGGGGCCGGCCCGGTGGCGCACTGCTACAGTGCGCCGCTTGAGAGCGCAGTGGCGCTCCCACCAAGGGTTCAGATCCCACATACAGACCGGTTCCCGCTCAATGGCTGAGCAAGGTGCGGGAGCAATACCGAGGGTTGCGATCCCGTTGCCGGTCCTGGTCCGGTACGGGCGCGACACTGAGGGTTGCAATCCGTTGCCGGTCACGAAAAAAGACAAAAAAACCAAGGGTTCAGATCCCACATACAGACCGGTTCCCGCTCAATGGCTGAGCAAGGTGCGGGAGCAATACCGAGGGTTGCGATCCCGTTGCCGGTCCTGGTCCGGTACGGGCGCGACACTGAGGGTTGCAATCCGTTGCCGGACACGAAAAAAGACAAAAAGGAAAAAAAAAAAAAAGTTATTTTGCTCAACAGGAGATCATCTTCACATGTCAGTAATTAAAACAAAGCATGTCTAACTGACTTGACTGTGGGGGTTAGCCAACTTTTTCTTAAAATGTCAGACAATAAATATTTTAGGCTTTGCAGGCCACACACAAACGCTAAAATCTGTCACAACTATTCAATTCCTCTGTTGCAGCACAAAAACAGCCACAGACAATTCATAAACAAATCAAGTGGCTGTGTTCCAATAAAAGTTTATTTTCAAAAGCAGGCAGGCAGTGGGCCAGAAACCACCAGCCCCTGCTTTAGAGTGAGTAAAGACTTTGCCAATACCCAAATCTCTCCACAGCTTCTTTAATTCAACAAACATTTATTACGCACCTACCCTGTGCCAAGCACCGTCCTGTGTACTGGAGAAACAATGGTGAAGGAGACACTGATCCTGCACCCAAGAGGTTCACAATCAGGTGGGCTAGACAGAGATGTAAACAAACTATTATCATGCTGTGCAAAGTGCTTGGTACTTTGTAGGTGTTGAGTAAATGTGTGTTGAGAGAGTGACTGAATTCAATCTTCCAACAAATATGCATCAAGCCTACTTTCTGCTAGGCACCTTTCTACATGTAGACCTTCCTAGATATGGCTACATCAGGAAACAAAACAAACAAATGGAGCTGATATTCTAGAGGGAGAAGACAGACAATAAACAAAATATTAGGTCAATAATATAATATGCTAAAAGTTGATAAATGCTATCCAGAAAACTAAAGTAGATAAGGATAGGAAATACCAGGGGTGGGGTGAGGATTGCGATTTCAAGTATGGTGATTAAGGAAGGCCCCACTGAGAAGGTAACATCTGGGCAGATTAAAGAGAAGGAGCCAGATACCTGGGGGAAGAACACTCCAGCCTGAGGCAGGAGCATGGCTACTGGATCTGAGGAAGAGCCAAGCGGCCAATGGGCTGGAGAGCAATAAACAATGGGAGCAGTAGAAGAGGATGAAAGAGAGGTACTGGGGGACGGTCTGTGTGTGGTCTTGTAGACTCTTCTAAGGACACTGAGGAGCCACTGGAAAATTCAGAGTTAAGGAGTAACATGATCAGACTTAGGCTTCTACAGGCTCCCTCTGGCTGTCTTGCTGAGAACAGACAGTAAGGGGTTTAGGAGAGAAATAAGGAGACCAATTAGGAGAATACTGGGATAATATAGGCCAGAATCACGGTGGTTTAGACCAGGATGGTAGGAGGATAAGTAGGTGAGAACTGGATGAATTCTGGATATTTTAAAAGCAGCCAACAGAAACAAATGAAATGAGGTGAAATGAAGTGAAATATATAATGTTCGGAGAGGAAAGCACACCTAAGTAAGCCTGGGGAGAGCCAAAAAGATGGCAGACTGGAGCTGAGTCTTAAAGAGGCAGCAGGCAGGCACGTAGGTCCTACTCAAGCCTCAGCTCAAATATCAGTTTCTTGGGAAACTCTTGCCTGACCCACCTCTTCCACACCAGGGTACCTTATACTTTGTCACTCCTGACACTGATCATATGACTTCTCATTTTTTGTTTAGCTGTCTATCTTCTTGAATGGTAACCAGGTTCAAGGCTGAATCCCAGTGCCTAGCCCAGAGTCTGGCATGAAGGAGATGTACTGTCGGCTCAGTTAAGGACTAGGCCTATCAATTTTCTGCTTCTAACTGCCTGTGGGCAGGAAGAGTACAAACAATGGTTTGTTGGATTTTGTGTTTAAAGTAAAAGTTAACAGGTTCTGAAGGAAAACCTGAAGTGGCCTACAAGTTAAGGTGTTCTCCAGAAATAAACCTTGTCACACTTACGCTGTCTGCTCTAGAAATGTCTTCCTTTTGTACATATCTCATCACTTGGAGAAGAGAAAAAAACACAAGTCAAAATATCTCCAAGAGGGCCGGCCCAGTGGCGCACTGCTACCGTGCGCGGCTTGGGAGCGGGGTGGCACTCCCGCCGAGGGTTCAGATCCCACATACAGACCGGTTCCCGCTCACTGGCTGA